TTAAGATAAATGAACCCCATATAATTTTGAAACCTACATATTTAGGGAATTCATCTACACCACCAGTCTTTATATCTTCCGATTTGACTCAGTCACAAGAACCTGAATTGAATGATGAAATCAGTAACAGATCTTCTAAGAAAGAGTTATTCAAAATCACTGAATGTCATATTCAGTGGTATTCAAACAAAATGAATGAGAATGTAGTCCATATGGTTGAGTGCAAATAAATAGGGAAATAATCTTTGATGAGTGTAGAGTTAGAGGACTTAAAGTGACAAGCTAAAGCCCCCAATTTGGTTCTTAGTTTTAGGTCTTAATATTAGAGTTAGCCTTCAGGTGAGGGGACGAGGGGGGACTCTAGAGTGAGAGTTAGTATCTCTCATGCTTAACCAGTCTTTAGGATTCTTAAACTATGAATTAGCCAATGTTCTTTATATTACTTGACCAAGGGTAAAGATCATAATTGGTCTTATTTGTCACAATCTCTCTCACTACTTATTTTACTTTTACACATATCATTAATTTCATTGCATGAGAAAGTTTACTTTTAACATATTAAACCCCACTTTCTAATTTTCATTGAGTATTTTAGTTTAGGAGTAGAAGTAGTATTCTAGTGATAATTTTATGATATAATTAAAGCCAAACATTTATTGACCTTCCAAGATAGGGTATGTTATTATAGACTAGAACTTCTCTTGAAAGCCGCCGTGATTAACCTCAATCTTCGTGGGATCGATATTCGGGGCTTAATCAGAAAACTCTATATTACTTGATAACGACATGTGTACTTGCGTTGAATCTATACTCTTTAATGATATAATTGAAATCTTACTTTGCTTGGGATCAAGTTTTTGACATCGTTGTAGGAAATTAAAACCTTCAAGTAGTTGTGTCAATTTCATAAATCCTTACATATAAAAAATATTGGGATCAGAAGCCACTAAGTTATTTACCCGTTATTCTGTGGCAGTGTTTTGAGGTGTTATTGTGATGTTGTTGTAGTGTTATTGCCATGATTTTACGGTGTTATTGGGGAGTTATTAACGTGATTTTGCAGCGACATTAATGGCATAATTTTGTGAGTGTTATTGTGGTGTTATCAGGGTCATCTTGCAGTTTTATTAGAGGGAACCCACAATGTTATTGGCCTGTTTTTCTGAAATAATGTTATTTGCATTATGTTGCAGTGTTATTGAGGTGTTATTTTTGTGTAATTGAAATGATTTTGCGGTGTTATTAGGGAGTTTTTGTAGTGTTATTGATGTGGTTTTGTAGTGGCGTTGATGGAGTAATTTTGAGGTGTGATTGTATTGTTGTCGAGGTCATTTTATCGTGTTATTGGAGGGAACCAGCAGTTATTGGCGCATTTTTTTGAGACGGTGTTATTCACGTTGTTTTCGGTGTTATTAAGGTGTTGTTTTAGTGTTTTTGGCATGGCTTTGTGGTACTATTAGGGAGCTGTCATAATATTATTGAGAGCTAAAATTGTTAGATTACAATAGCTATTAATCTATTCATGAATGTAAACATATTACAATAGAACATATTACAGTAAAACATATTTGGGAGCTATATAAAGACATCAAATTCAACAATAAACTAAATTAGCATTTAAACTCGTATGGACTGATCATAACTTCTTTTTCAATTGTAAAAATGACCACATACATTTTAAAAGATTAATAAAACAAAAAATGAAATTATATTTTAAATTACTATAGAGAATATAAATTAAGAGTAGATCAAACCCGAAGCACTCCAATTAAATGAACTAATTAATAATACACTTATAACTCACTAATTGAATTCATCAATAGGCTGGTATATGTTTATGTGGGTTGCGGTGCAAAGCATTCCTATTATTTTAAAGTAAGAACAAATAAACGTTTAGGAACATATTTTAATTGAAAAACTATCTAATGGTATTGAATTTCAGTTATATACCTCACTGAGGCAATTCGATCTTGCAAACAAATTTTCCTCGCATGGGATAACTGATTCTTGGCTTGATGAAGCTTCTTTCTCATTTCATGTATACCATAGTTCAAGTTAAAGAAAATTAATGTTACATAGAGTAAAACTATTTTTGAAAGTAGAAATAAATACTTTTTACTCTTTTGTTTATTTCCAAACTCCCTTTCAACCTAGAATTAGATATTACTTTTGGTCGCTTCTTCGCTGGGTAATTCAAATTGCATAATCTATTTGATGCTTTTTTCTTTTATGGTTTTCACTTTGATTGATATGCTTTCCCACTTTATTTGTTTTCAACATCTACTGATAATTTTTTCAATGATTCCAACATACATTGCTCAACCAGTTCATTATCTTGTGCTATAATAAATTTGATATGCAAACTTTTCAACGTTTGGGCGAAATAAAAGACCACTTAAAGAGTCATTCAACATTTAGGACTCCTTGAGATGTTAATATCCATAAGTGTTATAAATGTCTCTTTTTGCTTGAACAAGCCATCACAATAAGAAATATTTATTAAGAACATTTGTTATATTTTTCAAGTTAAGAACTCGCAGAGAGTGAGCACATAATAACCCCATCATTTCAATATTTTTGTAGATGCAAGTAATCTCAGAATTAGTCTTGTCAAATCTAACAATCCAGGGTTTGTTTGTCCCTTGATTATCCAAATTCTTTACATAAAATTCTGAATCACTGTCTACAGAGGATTCCATAACAAAACCACATATCTCATATAATAACTCTTCCTAAAACATTATGTATAACTTCCTCCTATGAAATGAAGTTGTATGCCTCAACACTTGGCTGCTTTTAACCATAGAAGTAATTACATATTGAGTACATTTGAAATATTCATCATTCTCATTCCGTCTCCATGGTTTCACAAAATTTTCAAGACCTACAAAAGTGTCGGTAAGAGAGATAGTTGGCTTGGAGACACCATGAAAGATATTATTTGTGGACTCACTTCTTTATGTTGATAAGATTCTCATTCCAAATATTTTCTCATTAAAGGTCATTGATCACTTATGTCTGATATTGTATAAATCAACTAACCGAACGTTGCAGTGTAGGTTTCATTTCTCAATCACTACAAACCAAATTTCTTCAAACTCTTCATAATTATACTTGCTCATGCACTTATAAAAAAAGTCGTTCACACTCTTACTACCCATACCACAATGCAGTTTCAAAGGAAATTTCTTGTAGATATGTCATTGACATAATTTATGTCGTGTATATGGGAGACAATTTTCAATAGCTCTTGCCATTGATTGACCATAATCAATAAAAAATATTATTGGATGCTCATAATTCATTATGCGAATGATTGTTTTGAATAATCACTTGAAATAATCAATCGTCTCATCGGACAAAAACCAACTCTAAAGAGAATATTTTGCCAACCGTGGTTAACTCAAACAAAAGAAATGCAACATAAATTATACTTATTTAGTCTACGACTTGTATAAAAAATTATGACATCTCTAAAACAGTCATAATCAAGCTTAGATGTCCCATCACTCAAAAAAAAAAAAAACTCATCAGTCTACTAGACTCAACAGTTTGAAAATCTAACGTAAACATGCTATCATCAGCTTGTCTCTGTGAATAATTGTAAATAGAGAATTATTATCACTTGTTCAATTCTATCGATACTTTCTCTTTGAATAAAATTGATGGCATATCACTTCATATATTCCATGTTTTCTACTCCCCCAACATCTGTAGCAAGAAAATTAAATGCATCTGTTGTTATAATTCCTGATTCTGTCATTGATCTCAGCACGACTGCATTGATCTCACTTATCTTTTTATCGGAACACAAAAAGATGCTTATCACCAGGTTCCACTAAGGTGTGATTATGACTTTCTATAAATTTCTTAACTGTTCAGTTGCTTTCAACATCAATAACATATCAAACCATGACTGAACAATTAGTCAATGTGTCTGTTTTTTTGAACTTCACCATGTTCGTGAACTTCACCTTTTTCTTGTGACCAACTTTCCCATATATAAAGTCCTTCGTCTTAATTTTCTTCGAGTTTGGCCAAAAACTACTATGGTCATTCTGGATAGTAAATCTAATATGATGAGTATAGACACAATAATATATATATGCATATTGCCCATTGTTGACAATTGTGTGTAGAAAACTGTATGCAATTCAATTATTGCAAACATTTCCAGGCTCACAGAACTGTAAATTTGTATAATATTTTAAACATGGTTAAATATGTAAATAACACAAACCAAATACTACAATCTCGTTAAAATAAAACATTCCACCAACACCTTAATCATACAATAACACCAAAATATCACATGAATAATACCAAAATAACATCATAACAACTCCACAATAACACCACAGTAAGACAAGAATAAAATAAAAGTAACACCACAATAACACCAAAAAAACTCGCAATAACACCAAAAATAACACAATAATAACTCGTGAATAACAGTGCAATAACACAAAAATAACACCAGAATAACAAAATAGTATTGCCAATAACAGTACCGTCCCATCTCAATAAAATCAAAACATTTCATCTTAGTAACAACACAATATCACCAAAATAACACCACAATAATAGTATAATAAAACCACAATAACACTATAATAACAAATTAATGATATCATAATACCATCAAAATAACTCCATAATAACACCTCATTTATAACTTCTAAATATCAGAAAAAACTCAAGAATAACACATTATTAAAACCCAAATAACATCTACTGTGACACCATAACAATGCCTTTACGATGATGTCAATATTTCAGGCACAGTTAAACTCATATCCGTTTCAAACTGCTCATCATTATCTTCAAAATTCATTATTAATATTTCTCGCATGAGAGACGTCCATCGCGGCTACTTGAAACACTAGCTTCTAGAATCACAAATGAAAAACATCACAAAATAAGATGAAAATATGGCAAAACACATTTTTTCAAAGGGCTGAGCTGATTTGAGTTGGGTACCGCATTAAAAAGAAAATGTTCAGTTTTATTTTTTTATGGATTGAGGTCGGGAAGCAGCTTTAGTATTTTCTCCATCCCTTCGCTCTCCCGCTCTCGCCTCTCCTACCCTAAACCCTGGCCTACAGCCTCTCCCTCCCGGTTTCGCCGAAAACCATCGACTTCATGATCGAACCTTTGCGATACACTCGCCATCATAGCTAGCTGGGAAGACAACGACGGGATCGTGGCTTACAGAAACTACCGAAACTCCCATCTTTCTCATCCGTCCGCCCCGCTCCTACCAGAAACCATTTATAAAGGTAAGCCTGTTCGCGCCAGTCTTTCTCTTCGCTCACCCCGGATTCACTAAATCCGCGGATTCACAGGATTTAGTAAATCCCGGATTTATCGCGAATAGGGGTCATTTTGGGATTTACGGGATCTCAGGATTTACCGAAACTTTTTTTTGCTCTTCGGCAGGATTTAGCTTAAATTCTGTGTAAATCCTGCTTAAAACCAGCTACCAAACAACCCCGTAAAGTACTGATTTAGATGGCAAGCAGCTAATAGAGCTTCCCATTAACATTTTTCCTGTATGGGCCAAAGTGGCAAAAGAGAAAAGAAATGATTCTTTCTCCTTTATTAAGCGTATCAGGTTTTAATCTTTGTATCTTTATAAATTTAATAATGTTCTGAGGAAGGTAACTAGTGATGTTTCTTTAGTGAGTTATTGATGGTTATGCATTGCTCAGCCTAAAATGCTGAAAGACTATCCTAACAATAAGAAAATATATTTGATAGGAAGATAAGCTCAATGCATTTGCATACTAGTATTTGTAGATCTACCAATTATGTACCGTAATTGAATGCTAGCATCAACGGAGGAAGGTTTGGAGCAAGATTCTCAATAGACGTTATGTTGCATCAGCAATAAGGATGGAGAAATGCTTAGCTTGGGTAAAACAGACTTTTTTATTTTACATTTGAAGTCTTACCTAAATATGTATCAGTGGTTCTTCATACTAGCTCTTAGTGGTTTTCTAGAGCATATACTCATGACTATGCTTTTCATTTCCATATAAAATGATGGATGGCATCAAATTTAAAAATCTTTGATGTACCTTTAAACTATGTGGAATGAGTTAAGTATCAAGTGTGAGTGGGTGATGCAGGAAAATGGGATAGACATATTAACGATTCAACCCGTACCCACCCATGAGGTCTGCCATGACTCAATCCATCCAAATTGAATTATAAACTAGAAAGCCCATACACCAATTTTTTGATTGTTAGCCTCTTCATCCATGAATACTTGAAAAATGAATGAATGTTTTCTTCAAAAGGCACTTATGTAGAGAAAAGGCACATAGAAAATTACCACCAAACATGGCTTTTTTTGCATAATTTAAGCCTGCCATGAACACCATGCAAGTGAAGATGATCATTATTGAAATTTCCGATGCACATAAAATCACATTTCCTTAAATTTTTAACACAACCAACTAAGGGATTATGTATATAGCTTAGAAATATGTATACGGCCTAGAAGTGCAGCAAACTTGCTCCATGTAATAACTCGTAACTGATGCTATGCGTCAATTCCTCAATCAAACTAAAGCCGTTAAAGTGCATTGGGCCAAGACTAAAGATTTTAATTATCGTGTGTCGTGTCGATACGAGCACAACAAATCTAAGTAGAAAAAAAATTACAACCAACCAAGCTTAGTTTTTCTATTTTTATTTAATACCCCTCATTGTAATTGGCATTCAAAGAGACATTGGGCAAAATACTAGAAACAAAACTCAATCCATGATCTAACTTACAAGAAATCTCCTTTCTTAGCGGTTTGCTACCTTGTCTGGCTTCACCAATCATTTGGCAACCTCTAATCAGGTAAAACTCTGGCAACGGGAATTATCACATTATTTACTATTATGCATTTTAATTTTTTTTGCAAGAATTCAAACCTTGACCTTTACTTTATTAGAGATAAAAGGTTGAGCTAGTTTCAAATCAGGTGAGCTAGGACTCATCAGATAGTGAGAGAGGCCCGATGAAGGGAACTTCACCAATCATTTGGCAACCTCTAATCAGGTAAAACTCTGGCAACGGGAATTATCACATTATTTACTATTATGCATTTTAATTTTTTTTGCAAGAATTCAAACCTTGACCTTTACTTTATTAGAGATAAAAGGTTCAAATCAGGTGAGCTAGGACTCGTCAGATAGTGAGAGAGGCCCGATGAAGGGAAATAGTGTGTTAGAGGGTTTGGAGGTTGATCGTGACTTTTATTAAAGTGGCTGTGGAGGATGCAATTAATGCTCAAGATAGTATCTACTACTCGAGCACTGAGGAACAATGATTTGATGCCCCATACATCATCTCTTTCACTTACTTTCATTGCATCTCTTCATCGAAGACAAAAGCTTGTATCCGGAAAGATGGATTCCTTGAATAAGATCTCTTTACCCCATAGCACACTTCTATATTTACATTGAGAACTCTTTCTCTCTCTCTCTCTATATATATATGTGTGTGTGTGTATAGCACAATGCGGGAGCGCTCTGGCGTCGGCGTCGACATTGGCTTCCTAGAATTCCTACGCACTAATGGAGTTTGATTCTTCCTTCGGCTTGAGCACCGACTTAAGTCCTTTTGGCCGACCTCTTCGACTGTATGATCGTCGTCTTCTTCGCTTTCATCCACAGATTTCACGCGTCTCTCTCATCACTGCCGTGAAGTGCTGTCTGCGCGTGGACTCGGCTTTGACTCCCTCTCTTTCTGCACAACAGCTCCGGATTGAGCGTAGCACTCACGTCCTCCTTGCATGCAAGCGAGCTCGTCCTCCCTGCACGTACGTGAGCTACGATCGCAGTCCAGACGCAATCACCGTAGCTTGCCGCTGTTCAACTCCCTGTTCCATGGCTTCTGCTCCTTCTCAACCACCAACTATTTCAGTTTTACACCTTAGGAAGACTTCTTTTGTTGATATGGTTGGCTCTATGGGATCATATCAGGTTTTCTCTCAGGTTTATCATGAATCATTCGAAGGTCAGGAGGACTGCAACCTTATCAAGAAGACGTGTAGGAAGAGTGACAAACTAGTTCTATTTTTCTCTGATGTTGAAGTTTCCAGCCTGGTTGACAAGTGAAAATTCACCCTCATTGGGAAGCTCCAATCAGTACATCTTAAAATGAAAATCGTTCGAAAGGCTTTTGAAGATCTCAAACTATTGAAACTTTGGAAGGTTGGTCTCTTTGATGGTAGACATGTGATGATACAATTATCTAAAGTGGAAGACTATGCAAAAATATTTTCCAAAAAGTATATGAAAATAGATGGGAAATATATGAAACTGCTTAAATGGTCCCCTGATTTTGCCCCTAGCCAAGACCCACCTATAATTCCAATCTTTAAACTACCTGGCCTAAAGTTGCACTACTTCAATCACCAAGTTCTCTATTCTATTGGAGCTGTACTATCCTAAAGTTGCACTACTTCAATCACCAAGTCCTCTATTCTATTGGAGCTGTACTATGAAGACCTATGAAATTGGATACACTCACCTTTAATCTAACCAGACCTTCGGTTGCAAGAATTCTTGGGAAAGAGATACACTTATGAAATTGGATACACCCACCTTTAATCTAACCAGACATTCGGTTGCAAGAATTCTTAGTTGGGAAAGAGATACACTCAATGGGTATTGACAGCCAATTGTTGCAGAACAAAGACTCTACTACTGTAATCACTATAAACTGTTTGGGCACACCATTGTCAAATGCTTCAGGCTTCACCCATATTTGAAATCGGTATGTCCTAACAACATCATCCATGTGGAGGAAAATATAACAGACACTGTTAATCTTCTAGAAATGTTGAATGAGAATTTGACTGATAAGACTACTCCCCACCAACCAGATCAACAACTTTCGCCTACTGTTGTTGAGACAGTTCTTCCTCAAATCACAAAAAACTACGAATTTTGTTGTAGCAGATGCTAACTGAAGTGCCTTGGAACCACCTATTGCGAGAGAAAAGGGTACTCAAGTTCTGGAGGAGTGTCAGGATCAAGGTGTGCTGCAGGCTGAGTCAGATCAACATACCCCCGGGGTGAGCTCTCCATCGAAGATCCACCTATTGTTCAGACGGGACTACCTCTGACATATGATTGACAGGTTTACAAATCTAGGAAAAAGAAAAAAGGAATGCTAGATCTCAGTAATTTTCAGGATGACTGTCTCATAGTTTCGGGCGAAAGCCCACATCTTAGTATGTTGCTGGACTCCCTCCCTAGATCTAGGGGAAGAGGAAGCAGTAAATCCACCGACTACACCCACCATGATTATGAGTTGTTTTCTTTTTTATATTTTTGGGGATTACGGTCTCCTTTTGAGTATGTTGTAATCTTTAAAATTGAAAAAAAATTACTTTTAATATTCCATCAAAGAATAATGGTAATATATATATATATATATAGATATATAGTTATATTCATATAATTGTTTTATTCATACTAATATCTTCAAATAGATGTTTCTCATGTTGTAATTGACTGTTTGTCAATCAAAACCATCCTAAGAGAGATTTGGGTTCTTGCTTTGATTAATTGTTCTAGTAAAAGAATCTAAATTTAGATAATTATTATTAATTGTTGATGAACTATTATAAAAAAATAATTACCGAATGATGAAAAGTAGGCCTATTTTGAGTTTAGTTTGAGCTTCACCATTTCAAGATTATGGCATGACTGGGTGACCTGTAGTGGGGTCATCTAAACCATTATCTATGTAATACAATGTACATTACTTGCTAAAGTTAATTAAATTGAAATTAAAAATATTTGATGCCCTATATTTTCTCCATATTTTTTTCGCCTTTCCTGCTCTTTGGTGTGGCCCGAGATTGGATCCTTAGTTTGGGGCAATGATTAAAGACCTTTCCATGATATGTAGGAATGATGTCTATGCTCTAGTAGGTTTAGTTTGATGGTGGATTTAGGGATTTGGGTAACAAAAGGTTGCTTTCCATGATAAGTAGGAATGATGTCTATCCTGCAGTAGGTTTAATTTTATGTGGATTTAGGGATTTGGGTAACAAAAGGTTGGCTGAGGTCAAAAAGCCTTGTTCAACTTGTGAGTGTTTTAAACTATAAAATTATGGTGCGGAAAATTAGTATAACTCAGGGCTTTGAAATCACTTGGAAGTGTTAAAAGGATGAGTCTTGATTTATTGTAAAAATTTCCAAAATTTTTCTGAAGTTGAAAGTATCTTTGGGATTTTGTAAAAGATTGGATTTGGTGGAACAAAAAGTTGATTGGATTTTAGGTTTTGGGGAGAAATTTTAGGTGAGGGAAAATAACCGAAAGCAATGTTGAAAGCAAATATTTCTAATTTTGTTATAGAGTTTTTAAAGGGTTTCCAAGGGATATATGTCTATTAATTGGTCTTTAGAGCAAGGCTAGATCTTTGCTTCTTGAATCAAGGTTACATTTTTGTGAAAAAAGAAAGAAAAAATTGCAAATGGGTGGTTGAACCATAGTAGACTGTGAGAACAACAATAATCATGTAGGTTTTATAAAAAACACAATTTAATCACTCACCTAAGTGTTAGTGAGAAGAGTTAACCAAGTACCCTTAAGGTGAGGCC